GAACTTTTACCGAAGGAGTTGCCCCTATTTCTGAACAGAGCAGGTGAAAGTTCGTCAGGGCCAGGAGCGAGGTGACACTTGAGTAGAGATATACACTCAAACACTTCTAGGGCTAAGGGACATTCCATGCTCCACCATTCCAAGTCCACCCTTCTATTGAGCACTGGCTGTTCAGATTGATGGTAGTGGGAGGCTAAATGGATTGTTGTTCGATGTGTTGTGCCCAACTGTCCAAACGTTCCTCTTTGCTAGACACCAGAGAGCCATTCTGACCCCTGAGAGTTTCACTGACAAGAGTCAAACAAAATCGAGTGGAAGAAACTGCGGGCGCTTTCAGCAGTTTTCGCGTCTTCCATTTCTTCGGCTTTTCAGTCCGTATGGACACTCGGGTGGATTTGGGGTTACCGTCAGGAGGGATCTGTCGCCGGGCCTCCAACAAAGCGACAGCCCTATCAGATACCCAACATGTGAATGAGGTTAGCTGGGTTGTACTACAAACGAAAGCCCCCGCTCCGAGTCCCACTCTGGTTATCTGCTCCCAGTGGCCGTTAATATCCGGCATCGGACTATCCGGAAAGTGCTCGAGGAAATAAAGGAAATCGTTCAACTCTAGCACCCTTTCGGTGCCTAGCTGCCATGCCACACGAAGGAAGCACAAGGGCTGGGGTACTGCCAGGTTGCCCCAGCCTAGACAGGGGAAGTCGAGAGGCAGAAGTCGGGTTCGAACCGCGGACCTTCCGGTCAGTAACTTCGCGCTCTAACCACTTGGTCCATCTCGCCCGGTACTGAACTCGTTGAGATCTTTGCGATCATCACAGGGGCGAGATGGCGGACGGATACAGTGCTTTCCTTTCCTCTGGGTGTGATATGGATTGAAATTTATAAGTTCGACTTCCTAAGCGACGGGTTCATACTTTGACGCACGGTTAAATCTCTTCAGTTAAACAGGTCCTGGAATAGTTAGTCATGTTGGTATAGATAAACCACAGGGTGACTGACGTTCATGCGGAGTGGCATTTGTGGAGACGCAGAGAATGGACCGTATAGACTGGAGGGGATCTGATAGAGCCGACTCCGAGTGACAGAGTTGAAGGCATTTCGTCTTGAGTCTGAGCCGGATTGCGTTCGAGTGTCCCGCTGAGGCGTTCGAGTTGCCCGTTCCCCTGGGGATTATAAGTAGTTGTTCGCCTCCTCTGTCATGTAGGAATGTGGACGGTTCGTCAGATATGAATGAGGAGCCACGATTTGAATGTACATATGCAGGCACACCAAATAGAATTATACAGACGTTTAATAACCGCAGATGCACATGCATCCGCGCAACGAAAGGCAAGCGGAAAATGGGAAAATTGCGGTTTGATATCTTTGACCTATTTTAGGGAAAACGGCAAGGTTTTGGAAAGAACAAAGTGGTGCATACGAGTAATTCCTGGATGACACAAGAAATCATGAATTTAGCGAATATACACTCATCTGCAAACTAATTTGGTTCTTTCTAGAGACTCAGCTGCAACCCAGCTGAATCTCTCGTTTATGATGTTCTCAGGCTGCACCAGGCCGCCTCATGTTCCAGTCGCTACGATATTCGAGATATCGCGATACAGGTATATATTTGTAATGAGTCGAAAAACCAAATTAATTTGCAAATGAGTGTATATTCGCTAATTTCGTGCAATTTGGTTTCAAGTAGAACATAAGGCTGACGGAAACCCGGGGACTGCGCCTACCTGATGAGCCCCAAGAAGGGCGAAACCGGTCGTGGGCTGTCGATGGATTTTCAGCAACCTTATGAGTAGTACATTACAAATAAATCATGAATTTCTTTTAATTTACCATTGCCATCACATTGGCGCATAGGTTACGCGACAAGGTGTCAGGTACCAGATTGTCTTTTCCAGGTCTGTAGCTGATATCTTAGCCAAAAACCCATAACTGAATTTTACTGTTTTTATCTTACTTTCCTGCAACACACCGTACATAAGGGAAACTGACCGCTGGTCAGTGATAAGTTTGAAGGGCTTTTCGAAGAGATAATGCTTCCATTTACCGATAGATTCAAGGATGGCGTATGCCTCTTTCGATAGCAGAGTGATTTTTTTCGCTCAGTGTTTGTCTTAGAAAAGAAGGCCACAGGTCGGACTTTCTGAGTCAGATGCAGCAATGGCAATATCTGAAGCGTCCATCTCGACAACCAAGGGTGTGTTGTAGTCGATTGTCACAACCATAGCGTTCTCTAATTCCTTTAAATTTTCGAAGGGCTGTTGTACACTCTGGTAAGGGGAAAGTCTTATTTCTGACAGGCACACTGATTTTGTCAGTGAAGTATACTATCCATTGCGAATAATAAGCAAACATACCAAGAACTCGTTGGGATTTAACGTCAAGTGCATGAGAGAGTTGACGAATAGGACTCATTCATTCAGGATATGGTTTGATAATTCTTTCAGGGACTCCATATCCGAGAAGGCATATTTGTTTGGCTGCTATAATGCTTCCCTTGCAGTTAAGGTTAACTCCATATTTTTTATTATTTGATAGAAAGGTTTGAGGTTCTAGTCATGCTCACTTTGGGTAGTCACACAAATGGTGACGTTGCCAATGTAAGCCTAGGTGCCACTTAAGTTCTCAGACTTGATTATATGGTCAGTAGTGAGTTGGAAGCATGCTACTCCGTTGGTAACATTAAATGGAATACGGCGGAGCTGAAACAGTTCTCCGCATGCTTCACTGATTGGAACTTGGTGGTAAGCTTTCAATAGGTCTTAGGTGCTAAAGACAGCATGGCGGGAAATTTCTTCGATAACCGTAGATGTCTGTAAAGGTAATGCAGCCGCAGAAAATGATATCGGTTGGTTATGCGAATATGACTAAGCCTGTTCTTGAACCATTTCTAATGACCTAGCCAATTCACGCGCTTCATCGAGAGTGAGTTCATTTTAAGCCAGAAGTCTTTCTCCGATGGTAGCAAATGCCTCCCTAGATGGGGACCCCGGGGCTCATATCACCAGTGATTGAAGACTTGCGGAAATGGCCCAATCGCGCAGTCAGTGGCGCTCGTGCATCAAAGCTATCGCCTTCAGTGCTTAGATACCCTATTTCTGAGCAAACTGAACATTCCTTCGCCTCCAAGGCTTGTTTGTATATTCCCCTTCCCGTTTTCCGGTGATCAAAACTGTAGCAGCTGGAACCAATGTACCTATGACACACGGTTTATAGCTGATAAATTGAATTATGCTGGTTCTGAGTAATCACCAAGGAATTTTTACACACTGCTTCCTTGCAAACATGCTACAGCCAGCAAAAGCCCCTTGAGTTGGAAGGCAACAGCGGTCGAACATATGAATACGTCTGATCTCTTTGGAGGGGTAACTTTTCACAACCGTAAAGCATAATGAGCTAGCGTTAGCTGACTGGTCAGGGCGCGAACCCACTCCTTGGAAGGTCTTTTGTTTGAACTCAAGTTTCCGCATCTTCACTGTTCCTTTTCAGGCTTGAGCAACCTGGCGGTATCTCAGTCCTCATGCTTTTTGGAGTGGCATGGCATCAAAAGAATGTTACAACTGAACGGTTTTTTAAGAAGCATTAACCACTTTTGCAGTCACCTTGTACATGCGGTCCTTTTTCTCCAGTTTTTGGTGCCACTAGTGACGCGAGTTCACAAATATTGCTTCTGCTTTAGTAATGCATTCATTGATCTTGGTAAATCGTGGCTAATGCAGTTGCCCAAACAAGTAAATTATTTGTTTCAGAGAGCCTTGGTAAGCAATCGGTAGTTTTTTGGTAGGATACAGAGGAACTCAAAATCCCGAATCAGTGCTTTGCCTTATGAAGGTGCAAAGCACACACAGGAACATAAGTTACATCCGAAATCACATCTCAACTATACTGGACTGATGATCGACTCGTGAGTTAGACCCATTTGCATGGACCAAGTCTACTGTACCAGGAACCTTGATCCCCTGAAGCGTGCGTACAGTATTGGCGTCGATAGCAGGAGAGGCGGCTTTCAAACTACCACGCAGTAGATTTTAGTAGGTTCGTTTAATTTTTGGCTCAGAAAACTCGACTTCGAAAAGGGTCTATTTCGAATATTCAGTGAACGATTATTCGGTCGAATAGCTCGCTTTGATATTTCCCGGATTACTGTACTACATCTGCCCTGAGGACCATATGAGAATGAAAGCAACAAAGGGTTAACTAAAGTGCGGAAAGCAGCTGCCGAAACGTCAGAGATTATATTATTTGTAAGATTTCCCTGTCGCTGATAGTCTAGCCACTCACAGGTTAGATATATTATTCCAACCTCACACATGGCATGAAGCAATACTATTAAAGCTGTCCAGCAAGCTTTCCGCAAATCATTAATCTTTCACCCTGAGCTTGCTGTCTTCACAAGCTTCGGTTTGGCTCCTAGCGTGGTGGGATGTCATGGCATTCCAGCATCCACTAAATGGTAGTCTGCTGTGTCTTTTGTTCTCCACGAGTACTGGATTTCCAAAATTTGGATCACATCAGAGCCAGCGTAGGTTAGAGGCATTTTTACATGATGACACGGAATATGGAATGTAACACGAGTAGTGTGCCCAACGCTGCCTCATCTTATGTTCGCCGATGCATTTCCGGTCTTTGTACCGTAAGATGAGGCTCGGATAACATGACAGCATATACCGTGAACTATGCATGTTCGATCTAGGTGGACTATTGGATCTCGCTGAGGTGTTGCAGTCCCAGGGTCCCCCTACTTGGTTTGGTCCACATGTTGAAGTGATGTACCGGAATGTGAGCGCTGTTGCATGCCTTATGGAGAGTCAAAAGGCATATGAGGACCGTCTACTACCAGACCGCTCTGGCATGCTATCAGGTTAATGATAATAATTCTGGGTGAACAGTCATCTGGTCACTACAACTATCGGTCACCGGTGGCCATTTATATGCAAGAAAAGACTAATAACCAATCTTTGTATTAACTCTTGAATTCTCTGTTTTCTTTCAGCACCAAAATGTCCGATCATATCACACCACAGTTGAGGGATGATGTTCTTGAAAGGCTGTAAGTTTTACATGTAGAATGTAACGTTTGATAGCGTGTTTTGCCGCCATTCTCTTTACCAATGTTTTTTTGCTTTTAATCCTGTGGGGCGGAGAACGCAATTCAACATATACCGCATGTATTGCATGTAGTTCACAACGATTGCTATGTAAGTTGACTGCGTTGTTGATCATGCGGAGTAGGTTCGCTTAGGTCGCTGAACCTGAACATAGTGTTTACAAACAATAGCCGTGTCTTTATTGTCATATCCAACTGTAATGTTGGTATGGCTATTCATTTTTCAGCCTCATTCCTAATTTCCGTGTTCTAAACCCAGTGCTTCCTATGAGGTCGGTAAATGACCATAATGTGTGAGTATCTTTCTCCACTGGATTCAAGCACTGATTACTGCCATCCAGGCACACCGGAGTGCGGTTATGTGCGTAGGTAATTAAGCCTAGGTACTAAGCTGCACACCAGTTGAGTGGAAGATTGAACAGGGACAAGGATGGGCTTAGCTCAGTGGAATCGGCGCCAAGTCGTTCAACTGTCTCATCATTTCGGCTCTTAATCTCGCGTACCGGAAAAAGAACGAGGATTGAGACATCAGCGAATATACACTCATCTGCAAACTAATTTGGTTCTTTCGAGTGACTCACCTGGAACCCAGCTGAATCTCTCGTTTATGATGTTCTCAGGAGAAACCGGTCGTGGGCTGTCGATGGATTTTCAGCAACCTTATGAGGATTGAGACACTTCCAGTTTGTCCATGTCCGGAATAAAACGGAAAACTATCCCATCGTTGTTGTCTGACGGCCTCATTACGGTTGGCCCGGTGATATTGTTTCTGGTGTTTCAGATAGAGTTCTTTTTTGGGGGGTGGAGAGAGGGAGCACTAAACGCGTGCGTCGTAAAACGTTGGAATATAGTTAGAAGAAACCTCAGGATGATCGTACCTTGTCAGTGGGAGCACTTATCATGCCCATTGATATCGCATATTAGACAGCAACATGTGCATTTTCCGTAACCGTCGCGTTTCGTAAGGTGTTTATGCGCTTCATTTTTACGGTGACAACCACCACGTTCATTCTTCTAACCTTTGGAATGTATGAACTCATATGAGCGTATACTGCCAAGGAATGAATATAGACTGTCATGTGGAAATTGCTGGCATGTTCGCGCGGTGATGTGGGCCATTGTCTGGCCATTTGCTTCACGAGAGCGCTTCACAAAAAACCTTTGTACCATGTTATCATTGTAGCCAGTGTCTACCTACAGGTGGCGCGGTTTGGTACACACTTGCTTCAGTCGATCGTTTATCGTCCCTACGCCTGACTGCACTTTCTAATGGTAAGAAGGACGTGAGACGGTACGGTGTGAAGCACAAAACAGTCACTGTAGAGTATGACTTTTCTCTGAGCAGAAACTGTGAACGAATCTGTTTGCACGTTGACCTGAAGGTAAGTTGCCAACTGCTTACCGACACCAGTGATTGGTAATGCTGTGAAAATCAAGAATGGGTTTGATCCAAATCGTGGATATTCTGGTTGTCGTTCCGTCTCATTCGACAATCTTGATGGCCCAATTTCATCGCCGTCCATATTGTTGTTCTGTCTTACGTTGATATAATCTCAAGTAGTTGGTACGATGAGAGCGCTCGGTGATCCAGATTGAAACACTTGACTGAAGCATGCTTTGAGCCTTCTTAGTCTGCACGAAGGTGCGTTAATTAAAAGTACACGTTGTCTGACGGATGGGTGGCAGGAGATCATCGGTCGGTCGGTCACATAAAGTGCACAACTACGTATTGATCAAAGTCGCCGCGCGCACGCTCAGCTCTGTTGCATTTTGTTGCCTATTCAGTGCACTGTCTTGGCGAGTAGCATGCTTTTTAGCTACACATTTTCCAATTGGTTCTCTTGGATGGGCCCAAATTGTTCGTCTACTTCGTGCTGTACTTCCCTCGTAATTGCACTCAGTCGTTTTGCTTTTTTACAGACGCGCGGTGACTTTGACACGCAACTTTAAAAAAACGCCGGAAGAAATCGAGCGGTTGATTTTGGAAAAGGCCCGCGGGGTGAAGGTACACTTTTCGTTTCATCATTGCAATCACCATTCATCCCGTAGAAAACCTATTTGGACTTGTTGTCCAGGGTTCTGAATCCGAGTGAGTATCCTGCTTGCATTCGTATTAATCGGTGAATTTTTCGTGTGTTACAACTCAATTTGATGCCTCCTTCCTCAGTTGTGCTCTATATGAGTTCCACTATGAAATTTGTCCCTCCTCCTTGTAACATCAAGTGATTTGTTAGCTTTTCTGCATTGGAATCGGCGTGAATTATAGGAGTGGCTCAGGTCAGAAGTTTTTTCCACTGGCAAAGGTTGGCTGGAGATGTTCAACCGATGTTGTCATTGGTAGTGCTTATCTTAGTTATGTTGCGCTGAGTGGAAAACGTAATCCCTTTATGGCTGTGTCCATCCAACAAATAAACGTTGCCCCACAGCCCCATGCTGTCAGGTTTAGAGAAGTTAAACATTTTTGTGTCTGTGGGTAAGCAGTAATTGTTTTCGCTTATGCATTCGAAATCCCCCGTGATTTTCTTAGTTCATAGGTTCTCATTGTTCTGCCATGACGTTGGCGGTTGCACACCGTTCTCACAGTAGCCGTATTTTCGACGTGGACAGATTACCTGACGAGAAACTAGAAATTCCACAAAATGTGACGTTGCTCATTTGACTCCTCCTAGCGCAAGGGGTTGGTCTATTTTCAAAACGTAGCCCTCGGTGATGAAACAAGCTGGAGCAGCTAAAATTCCTTGCTATCTTTTCTATTTCGTTGGGAAACGGTATTCATGTGCAGCTTATTGCTAACAATAAAGCTCACAAAGTTCCCTGAGAGAGCAAACTGGCAAACTTTTGTTAATTGCTGTCTGAATTTAGTTCCTTGGTTTTTATGGCTTCTTATAAAATCCAAAATCCGTACGTAGGTGAAATCGGAACGATGGTTGAAATGGTTGATAGAGTTGTCGATGGTGTCAAGTGCGCCTATTCTGAACTTTTCTTTCTCAGCTGTAGTCGGTGCGGCTGCTGCAGGTTCGCATAATGCGTCTCCTTCGCCAGTAACACAGTCCATCCCCGTAGGGGCTGTGGGTCCTCATGCGCAGGTGACCGGAGTTCAGATGCAACGTTCAGGTGCCGCAACCACCCAGCCCCAACAACCGCGTATCCAACACCCTATACCCGGCGGTATCTCCATCGCTGGTCCAGGTATTATGCAGCAAAGTCCTGCCACAATCCCGCGTCCTCGAATGCACTCAATGGTTGGCCAGCCGAATCAGTCACAACCAACGCAGCAACATCAACAGCAGGCATACCACCCACCTGGGGTTCAGCCCATGCAGCCTACCCAAACACTTTCGGTTGTTGCTCCTGCTAGCCGTGTATGTACACCAGTCTATCCATAAGTTGATTCACTTTTCGTTAACCCTCTTATCACGAACAAAAGAGGTTCTGTACAGTCCAGAGGTCCAGCTAAATAGTGTAGGCTTTTGTGCGAAATTCGCCAGCGTGAGCATGGGTGACTCATTGGTATCTGCACGCTAGACTATCCCCACTCTGTGGAACCTCATCTGCTCAGTCACTGAGGTGTGTCTTTTCTTCTGGCCTTTATTTTTCGCTCGTTATGGTACAATAGCTAACTGCGGGACTTACCCTTAGAATAATCAAGTCAACCCCACATGATGGCCGGAAATGAGTCGTAATGTGGTCGCACTGAGTATACGTTTAACTATGTCACCGGTTTCTGTCAGGTTACACTCAATCTTGGTTATTATCTGTTAGCATTTTAGATATAGTTAAATACAGGATTCTGCCAATCGAGGATGTGGTTTACGAATAATCTGAAGGCGTTGTGCGTACAGGTAAATGGATCAACGGGCCAAGGATGTAGAGCTGTTGTTTGGGAGTTCCCGCTTTTAAGTGATCTCATGGTAGCTACGCAGAATGCAGAATGTATGTATGAAGGTCACCGGGAGAGGTTATTTGAAAGCCGAGTGTTTGGCACACAACACGGTGTTGTTAAGGGATTGGTTGGTGGATACATTCATTCAGTTCACAGGGTGAGTACACGCTAGTCAACAGACACTTTTGAATCTTGTTCCGTGGACACATCAAAGCGGGTCCCAACGGATTTTTGATTTCAACCTACTAACCTGTACAACTCGCTAGGATGTTCACGTACAATTTGTAGCTACTGTTTGCACCAGATGTTGAGTAGATAAATCGTACTTAAGGTTGTACTGAAGTCTGTCATAAATCGCATCCCATAGGTCAGACAAGCAGTGCTAGGTCTGCGACTTGAAGTGAGGCGTAACTTTTCAGTTCTGATGCAACTGGCATGATGTTTGAAATTCCTTTGCAGTATAGCTGCGAATGTGCTCAGTCACATGGTTGGGCCGGTTCGCTTTAAATGGCAAACACAATCTCATGTGCTGCGCGCTCTGTGTGCTCTATACTACAGAAACCAACTAATTCGAGAAATAGCGGTGAATGATAGACCAAAACCATGAACTTTTGTTTCGTTTACCTCGCGCCAAACTGTTACTCAGTGTGTATGATACCAGTCCTATCTATGAGAGATCCACCTGAATTTTTTCAGCTAGCTGCGGCCGCACACAAGCTGAATTGCGTGATAGGGTGGTCGATCAGGGAGAACCCCCTATGGTGAGCATGAATCCCTGAACAACGAGTAAATCAGTGACGGTACAAAGGAGCTCCATCCGAGGGGTATCATAATCAAGTCAAGTGTTGTTAGGTTTCGAGGTTGGGGGACCACCGGTTGTTAGAATCTGTCTACCAGTTAGCTGGATCAGCAGAGGAATTTGATTGCGCAGCCTGATTCTAGCAAATGCGAACGATAGGTGCAGATAAAACAGCAAAATATCGATCACCTCAGCTTACTGGTTTAGTTGCTGCATTCGGTTATTAGAGAGAGAATACCAGTTTTACGCTGATTTACAAAGCAACAGATGACTGGTATCCGTTCTGGCAGTTGCTCTTCGCATCGAATCCGAGCGTTGGTTGTTGACCACAATGCGGAAGACTTTCGATCTTATTGATAGAGTCAAAGACATGAATATTTACTTCCCGGGTATTTCGTCACTTTTCATTGATGTACCTTCATTGGAGTCTGTGCACTATACATGCGATATTATTAAGAGTACCGAAATATCCACCTATTGATAAGTTAAAGGGGCTCATTTTAGGCTGTTCGTCAGGACGTTTCACAGGTAGGTCGATGGAATAGTTGTGGGCTGTCTGCTTGACGTACTGTCTGGAAATATATCTATACCCAAGCATTGGAACACCCTATTATATAGTGACAAAGGAAAATGCGACTCTTACGTTACACCAGATGATGCAACCAAATCCAGAAATTCCAAATTGAATGAAACGAATGTATCCAGTCATGTCAAACTCCAATTTCCGTTGCTATGTACTCTGTCAGGTTTGCACATGCCAGTAGACCTACTTTATCTTCTTCAGGACGATTTCACTTTGAATGGGTCTGTCCACGGGGCATTGCCATAGTATTTTAGGCTTATCTAGCCCACCCACGTTGCAAGCAAACATGTTTACTTTGGGCATGTCTCTGTTTGGCGCTCTTCTGTGGAGAAACCCCGTAGCACGAATTTTGTTTCCTAGTCTTTGTCGACAGAGAGAGGATTACTCGCAGGGGCTATCTGGAATTATTTTTATTTCCAGTTCCTGTGTGATCCCCAAAATGTTGTGGATTTCAAGCCGAAAGAAGCACGAGGGCTGGGATACTGCCAGGTTTCCCAAGCCTAGACAGGGAAGTCGAGAGGCAGAGGTCGGGTTCGAACCACAGACCTTCCGGTCAGTAAATTCGCGCTCTAACCACTTGAGCCATCTCAAGCCAACTTATGGGATCAACGTGAAGTGGACTCAGCTCGGTAGGATTTCTTTTGAAGAGAGCTTATTGGGGGACTATTCTATTTTGCTGTTAGTTTTGCCAACCTCGAATGACGTCACGTCACACAGTTTTTTCAGGGCCAGGCATAGGATCTGCGATGTTAAACTGAATGTCGTATGTTTTGGATCTCTACCGCATTTCTTTGATGAGGTTGTCTTTCCGTTTGGTGAAGACTATTTTCTTCTGTTCTGAATGACACTTTTATCAATGTCTTTAATCGAATTCCTGTCCCTCCCACTTGTATGCTACCCTTCAGACCGTTCCCGTGCATACTGATGGTTCTCAGGGTGCTATTCATCGCGTTATGACAGTCGTACGTTTTGCAACCAATCAGCAACACGTTAATATGTTCTCACTTGGTTACCGCAGTGGCCAATGTTCTTCACTTGCCCACTACTTTCGGCTCACATCTTCAGTTCACGATTTTTCTTGGCTGTTTTCCGCCATTCTAACCGACCCATTGTAACCAACTCTGCGCACGATCTTACCACGTAACCGGTGACATACAGTTTTCCTCCTCATGTAAATTTATAAATAATAGCCGAAGAAGAAACGCAGTGTGGTCCATCGTTATCTTTGGGCTCTCGTTGACCCAGCTTTTTCGAGTGTAGGCAAAACCAACTGCCCAGTAGTTCTCACTTGTTCCTTTTCATTGTCTTTGTGACAGACCCATAGTTCATTTTTCTCTTTCTGTCAAGTGTTTAGAACTGAGGTCAACCAAGCCACTCGGCAACCACGTATAATCTCTTTAGTGAGTGTAAATAATGTTAGTGCTTGATTGGCACCTGAACGGAAGCTCGAATTAATTGGATAGCTTTTCACATGTATCTTGGAAGTTGTGTTGTTTTCGATTGTAGTGTGGCAGATGAGATCGATTCGCGAATCTACAAGGATCGGATCGTGTTTGCTAATTTGAGCGACCTATGGTGTCAAAGCGGTATGTCCCTTAATCCCAAGGGACGTATGTGTCAGGCTATGGTAGGGGCTATTTTGTTGTATGACTGTGAAAATTGATCTGTTCGAGCAACGGAACTGAGACATCTTTAGGTATTAGGCAATCCTTATTTCAGGATCATAGCTCTTGTGGCTTGGTGTCGGAGAATCCGTAATGAGGTAATCAGAAAACGAGTTTTCGGTTATGCAACAGGGACTTCCATTGAAGCAGGTGTCCAGCACTAGAAGCTACGTTGATTAGGCCATGATAGCGCATGCCGAACCATCGTTTACCCAATTCAAATTGGTGGAAGCAGAGGGGTGGCCAACTCTTGACCTGCTAGAGCGAGGTTATGAAACTTTTGGGTACTGTCGGAGCTGCTCGGCTTCCAGGATGGGGACGGCGTGATTTCCACTGCGCATAGTTGCAAACCCTGCAAAATATGGCTTTCAATCGATGTCAATAACGTTCTTGTTGTAAGTTTCTTTCGAGATTGTCCTAATAAGTGCCTGGAGGTGTAGGCCCCTTGAAATATTGTAGTAAGCTAGCACTAAATCCCTTCCCCGTCCACCTTTACTCTTTTTTTTACAATAAGGCTTTCAAATAAATAATGGTTGTACGTCAGCGAAGCATCCTTGTTGAGCACTGATGTCATGCGGTCGATGATGATGCATATGTGTAACTTTCTCACGGGGTTTTCCCATCTATTGGTCCTATGTAGCCGTTACCCTGACGCGCCACAGACTAATTTTATGCTCTCAAATTAGAACACAGCGGCTGACGTGAAGCACGCATAACTTATTGATGTTGCCTAACATATTTGGAATTATTCTGGTTTGACTCTTTTAGTGATAAAATTATGGTTCTCTGAGTAATTTTCGATCATGAAGTTCAGGTCAAACCGTTGTAAGCAGATGTTTTTAGAAACTCCCAACTATCTGATTGCCAGCCTGTCATTCATTGTTATTGATTAATGTCCATGGATTTTCTGACGTATAACCACATTTATTCCGTGAGATTTCATCTTGTGCTCAGTCGGATAAACAAAGCATCCTGGACTTCTTCATTCGGTCTGCTTAGCGACAAAAGCTACCATGCTGTGCGCATTACTTACCGTCAATTATCGGCGTGCTTCCGTTTGCGTATTACGACCACGTGTTACAGAGTAACGTTTCTTCGTTTATGTTATATGTAGGACGTGTGTTTTTCTCCTGCTTCCGTAACCGATGGCTAGTATATCGCTCAATTTCCGGCCTTGCTCGAAACCACGGTATGAATGTTAGGTCTGGTGCAACTAGACAAACGCTACCGGTCGCAATGAGGAATCTTGGTGCTTGTAGTCAATATGAGGAAAGAAACGCAATTTAGATGATAGATATCTAGGTGTGGACAACCTAAAGAGGGAGAGGCTATGGAAAAAGAGTTGATGCATAGCAGCATCCAATGGAAGGCGACTGACATTATAGAGAAGCATGCAGCGTACTCCGTTGTGAGAAAAAAACAGTCGATGTACAATGCTTCCCTGGTACGTAGGTCACCGATGAAAACACTGTCCTTAAGGAGTTCATTCATGATGGTATACTTTTTTATGAGCGATAAGATAACGGAACCGGAAAACCTTTTGTTACCTTTTCACTTGCTGAAAAATAGAAGCTGAACATTCATGTTTTATAGTTTTTCTAGAATTTCCAAATCGTATTTCAGTGGAACTTCACCAAACGAACAGATTTGTTCCCCTACATCAATATGCATGCTACTTTCGTTGGTCCACAGTCCACTGAAGTGAACCGTTGACGGAAGAGCAGACCTTTCTGAAGTAGAATGAATGGTAATTTAAACGACGTCAATGGATCAAGTTCTTTAGTTGTAGAGAAACTGTTGTAATAAAATAGCCGTAAAATTGAGCTGGGATTTCGGGTGTAAGCCTCTCTGATTTAGTTGTACAGCAATGTGCAGCGTGATGCCCTCGAGTACTGAAAGTCATAGGGGATATCAAAAGAAATTTTCAGTAGCTGCCGAAAATGTACGCCTGCAGCATTGCCCGGAAGACATTGTCAGTCTTGTGCAAACAGATACTGCTTCTTTCCCGCTGGACTTGAATTTTCCATCCGTAGAAATAAGGTTGAAGTTTGGAAGGTTGGAATATTCATAATTTGCTTGTTGTTGTGTCGCGACAGTTTCGGAGAAAGACCGGAAACACTGGTCTCAGGGTGAAGTAGAAAATTATCACGTCCGTAATCGATGAATCTGAATAATACCCGAACAAAAATGTCTGGACGAAAAGCTCCAGTGCCGTCTGGAACTTTGGAGGAATATGCTTGTAATGATCTGCGTACGGATAACTGTATTTAATACTCTGGTCCGCATCTGACACACATTAGGCTACTGTTTTCCAAGACCTAAATGCATTTCCGATTTACAACCATTCGAGCGAAATGTAGAAAGTTTCCTCGAGCGGGGCGTAGTGGCTATAACAGTGCAACTGGTATATATACACAGGGTTTCCAGAAACAATCTTTTCTATTAAAATTTACCACTGAATTGATTAAGTTGCCTCATTATAAATTCAACAAGAGTCTTGAAGGTCACAGTTATTACTCCGTCCCTATCATTCTAATGGTATTCGTAAAACACATGCATCACGCCAAACCACACACTTTTAAGCGAAATGTATCAATGCGAGTCTAGCATACGGTTAGAATAATGTCTCCAACCAGGGTTATCAAGTCCCATTCCTTCATGCCTCATTGTGATTTGTTAGCCAATATCATCTAGTGACTGAACTACAGGCAGTTATCTTGCAAGACTAGAATATAGTCATCTGCAGTATGGAACATTGAAGTCGCATTCACTTATCGTCCGACCGACCCTACGAGCTGAGCTCGACTATACAAAGCTTCCGACTAGCTTTGTTGTAAAGCTAAGTGTTTGGGTGTCCAACCTCAATCATTGTTTATCCCGGAACTTCAATCCTCAAGTTGTCTCGCAGTAGCAACAATATGCAATGCCTTAAGGTTCACAGGCACAAGTTGGCAGTGGAGCGTGTCCGGGTTTCAGTCAGTACCATTGCCCAGAGCTTCCAAGTTCACAGCAAAATCTCGCCACATTCTTATTATTTTGATACCTTGCTATACTGTGACCTGAAGTGGACAAGAGCGTTCAACCGATGCAGCCACAAACTGTGCAGTAACTTGGGTAACAACAGATGTTAGACTCATTCTAGTATGCCTCAATGGTGTAATATCACAGTCGTGGAAGTATAGGGTGCGAAGTAAGTAGATGAACATTATCTCTTGATGTATACGATTGGCTGATGGCTTATGTGCATCAGTTGAGGAACAGTACAGTATAATTCCTAAGCTAGCCACTCAATTTACTGACTAAACCATTCGTCCCAGTCAATGATATTTGGAAGCTCCGAATGATTCTGACTCGTGATAGGTTTACGCATCGAAAGAACCTAGTGATCTAGCGAAATACACTCGTTTGAAAACAAATTTGGTAATCTAGTAATGCGCATGTATTCAATATGCTACCTGTAAAGTGTTATCCCCCAGCAGCTATACGGATTTCGAATCCGCCGGTCCCTACTATCTTGGTGGATACCGGTCTCACGAGGCTCATCTCATGTACTGCTGATATCATTACCAAATTTGCGTAACATATGAAGCGGTGCACACTCTTAAGTCATTCTAAGGATGATAACCAGCTCGTTAACCCTGTATTTAGTTGCCATACTGTTTCCTAGTTATCTCTATCTTCAATGCACCATCATTTCCCACTTCTTTGTTATTGTGTGCGGAAATATGCCTCATCTCACATTTCAGACTTTACAGGCTGTTTCCTCGGCCCCAAACCTCGGCGCACAGGGTATGTCTATCTCTTCACAAGGGCAGCAGCCACTTGTTGTTTATCAGCAAGCGAATGCATCTGGTGGAGTGATCGGAGACAAATCGGTGCTCATACGACCAATATCTAGTCAGTAAGTATCGAGTTCATTTACCCCACTACTGTTTCCTTGTACTTCATACTGCGCTGGCGTTATTTCAGGGTCTTAGAGTGTCAAGAGACTTTGACGAACACGTTGAGTTTTGCCTGCTAGGGCCGGGAGATACTCGTTCTTATTTTCTGTGTGATCAACTTCCACGTCCATGGTACATATATACTACTTCGTTATCAAGACTGTCGCCGTTTGGGGACTGTTTTCAGACAAAGCCATTTTTCTTTGGTCCGTTGGAGCTTCTGCTGTACCTTCGCATCTGAAGCGATTCATCTCAAGTCGTTCCTCGAGCAACTCGTTGAAGCGTGTTTCGGTCCGACACGCTCTCAGAAGAGACTAAAATCATTTTCTCCGTTTATTCGGTGCACAGCTGTGTGCCCGCGTTTTATTTATGGTTGCACATCTTCACGCTCGATGGATGCCTCCCCAACAATTCAAGACTACACTTGTTCTGTGTGATTTTGCGGATTGGTTTGTGTGCGTACACCTCATATAAGGTAAAAAAAAAATGAAACAGGGACGAACCCAACCATTGGTTGCGCTCGGTTTCCTGTCCCTCCCAAGCTTATTCAGATTTAATTGGTTCTTGACATCGGTAGAATAAGCTTTTCCACACTTTGATGTTTATTTGATTCTTTGATACAGCGTGCCAAGGCCACTCACGTTAGTTTACATATTTAACAGACTTTCGCTTCTTTGCTCTGCTTTCCCATTGTCGATCAATCTGAAACAGTCTAGCTGATTTATGCGCAATATTTTTTCACTCACTGGAGGAACTGTGACTAATCGCTTTTAGAGATTTAGAGCATAGTAGGCTGAATTATACTCGAAGAGAGAAAAAGGCCTAGTATAAAGTGGCATCAAATCTTGTCTTTACGACTTGAGTTGTCTCCATTGATTCCTTCCAGCGAGTAGACTCATTGGTCAACCTTTTTGCGGTGGTCCATTCATCGACACCTAAAGGACACGTTTCATTTTTCCAGGGTTACGCTTATTATGGACCTCTGAGCCGATTCATATGGTCTGCAAACTTATCAATACTATAGGTCCATAGGCATGACTAGAAAATAATTTCAACTGGCGATTATGAATTCTTATCTTGTCATCCTAGTCCTCGGTCGCTGCTTCTCTTCAACCTGTTCCCATGAGCTGTCACTCCACGGCCTATAATATCCTTTTTACATTATAAGCACTATGTGTACCGCATTATCGAGAATTCGTCCATTGTTTTCTACTACTCCCTTGGCCCTGCCTTGCGAAGGTCCCACCATTGCTGACTCTTTTCCTAGCTCTTTCTGTATCCATCTGAGTTTCTGGTTGACCTACTCACCGATTCTTATATGTAGAGGTTTCATGGCCAAATTGCTCGTGTTCGTGATGGGCACGAAGAACCAGCCTTGGCATAAGGTGGTACTTGGTAACTGGGGAGACTGACAAGTATTGTCTGTGTTTTGGAATTCAAATCCTTGCTGCTAGTGATACAACCTCCGATGAGTCGGATGGTTGAACAGCAGTCAACCTTAGTTGGGGTACCTCCATGCCAAGTTTTCTACCAAATAACAGAAACGAAGCGTGAGCAAACGTAAACCGGTGTTTTTCATAGAGAATTGTTAATTACAGCTAATATTCAGTCAATAAACGGTGTCTTTTCCAGTGGATCCATCCTTGTTGGTCGTTTGTATACTTTGAATTACTTTCGGTTTGCATCAAGGATTTCCACTATGATATTTTTTAACTGAATGTGTTGCCTCATATTCCAGTTGATGTGACATTCGTGATGTCACAGTATATTTTCATGGGGAAACCACTGCCACTAACCTTATAAGTAGTTTCATTCATGAAAGCTATCGCCCTTTGCTGCACTGGTCAATGGATACCTACTGTTTGTGACAGTAATACTTATTCGTTTCTCTAAGTAGAAGTGAAGAGGAACGTATAAGGCCTCAGGGGTGGTGGAGTTGGTCGCTAATTTAAAACCTCCTGTCTGCACACTCACGTAGTCAGTGTTTTGCTTGAACGGATTGCCTTCGGTGTTCTGTTCTGACCTCTTTTCAACCAGAAAAGCGGAATACCTAATCCCCTAAAAAATACAACTTTACGTTCACCCTCCGTCTTCGTTGTATGTACCAGTAGAAACTAGAACCACTAACGCAACTATGGTAGTTAGACATCTGAAACTGCTTACTTTTCTGAACTTTCCAGGTTAACAGAGATCGCTTACTCTGCGACTTGCCACTGCGCGTAATTGTGCTGCTCCAGTTGACCAGTTCAGTGGATGGCATGTATCTATTGAGTGGCTTTTGTTCTGCCTTTTTGTTAAAACTGAAGTTATTTTTATCCTGCTTCCCAAAGTTCATCGCGTTCCCGTGTATTCTGTTTCAGTGTGCAGCAAATTCCAATTACCGGAGCTCAGGTGGTGCACCATCCAGGGGATCATTTTAGTAGGTTTCCTTAACTTCTTTGTCACGGACGTGGACTTTACATCACCCTTTATCTGTGACTCGTTACACAACATTTTCAGAGTAATCCGGTTATCTTGTTCAGATGTAGACGTGTGCATAGTGTAGTGCGAATCGTCGGTTATGAAAAGCTGGTTAGACACTACTACTGCTTTTCCCCATGCTCAGTAAACGCCTCTTTCCAGCAATCTTTCCAGTCTTAAAACACATTCCAAACTCGTGTAAACGGTCAGATGCTCAGTAATCAAATCATCAAAAAACGTCAAGTTGGATTATGTCTGAGCAAGCAAAACTTAATGGAAATAGTGATCAGTAGAGGGCCCAAGGAGTGTTTTGAGACTGCCTGTAGAACTAAGTGTGGGCAGACAAATATTTCAGAAGTGTCACATTGTTGCAAAACTAACAGATGTCCCAATGACCCTGTTAATTGCATTGTCTCTGCACCGTATTTGTGAGACTAGATTACTGAATTGAACTACCGAATCCTGTTGGCTTAACTTGTGTTCCTTGATGTTTGGAAAGCTTTCGATATTGGATTTTAGAGGTCATTAGTAATTCTGGATGATTACTTATAAAGTACATGATCGGATAAGTGCGCTTGGTCTCCCGGTCCAAGGATTTGTGTATCGGAATCCAGAAAATCTGTAGATGTTGAATAGGCCACAAAAGTAGGTCGAGTAGCTTTCTCCGTATTTGCATTCGTTCTGCAAGTGCAGAGAAAGCGAACATGTGATCCCCCTGTTACGCAACCGTTACTCTCCGGATCGCACGTTTACCTTGTACTCACGGTCAACTTTCGGGCCACGACCAAGGGAGGACCGTTGACATAGCCGGCAGACAGGATAACTGTTCGCCAGCTGTTTGGGCGCGTCAGCTATTTACACCAGTGCCAGTGTGTGAGTGAATACCTCACGATTATTGGTAAACACAACTGTACTGTGAACAGCAGTGCAACGTAGGTTACAACCTTTTCCCTGCCTGTGTTCCCTAGCACTCATTACGAATAAAGATATTGTAGCTGTCGTAGCTATCATATCCCGGTAAAATAACGGATTTTTACTGGTCGAAATGGATTCGGTGCACTGTTCCGGTTAATCCATTATTGAGGTGGCGTCTCAATCAAAAACGGTTTGAAAGTGGTTTTTAAAAATACAGTTTTATACGCGATAGTATAACGTAATCAAGGATAGTCTTGCAGTAAGATTATACCGGAAATTGGATACAGCATCTTAAGGATCATGCTCCTACAAATTCTTACGTGACAGAGCGCGCACCCTATTCAAAGCGGCCAAGGTCCTTTTTTAATGGTGAACGTGTGGGTGAGTTCTTGCTAGAAATAACACTGAAACAGTCAGAAGCGTACATCAAGAACTGCCGAAAGTTTCTGCTTTTTCCTTCATCAAAAATCATTCTTTGGAATCACCAAGTGTATACAGCGAGCTAACTTTGATCCACCTTACTTATTATATGGTTTTATTTCAACCAAACAGTGAGAACCACAGTAATTCGTTCTCCTTGAGTGTGCGAGCTGTCCTCTTGTGCGGGAAATTCTCCAATCCAGATTCATTTTTTGTCGTGAATAGGTCCAAAACATACACCATGGTGCTCAAGGTTGTTTACTCCATTAGTCAATCATTTTCTATATAATTTTAACTCGTGGACTTCGCTTAAATTTCATAACGTTGAAATTTGTGCACGTATCTCCGATTCGTAGGCTTTTTGCTCTCGTGGCGGCTGAACTGTGAAACCAAACAAACCTGACGTAGACGTCACGCACTTGTGAACAGTGTTTGAACCATCTGTTATGTTTTCCCTGTGCTGGCGTGCATGACAGGTGGACAACCGTAACCGATGCCCTTAACACATTGATCAAGTACCTCCTGACTCAGAACGTCAAGTGCTTTTCTTATCATGTTACCAGTGGTCCACCCTATCTAACACAATTGCACTGCATCTATCCGTCTGAAAATCTAGCCAATGGTGTTCCAAGTGTTCTTCATACGTTTTTTCTTATTCGTTTGTTATCTGTTGGATAAATCTCTTGTTGGTCCATCTATTCCACCTCTAACCAACCCCTTCCCCAACCAAATATCGCCTTTTAGTCCGATTCTATTCTCGCCGTGCTCCTGGTATGTTTCTTCGTTTTCCATCGTCAAAATCGTTTCGCACACAGCTTCCGTATTCCACCAGCAGTTTTCCGGTGGCTTTGCGTTTTGGACTCGATAACTGAACTCCCGTGTGCTTTTCCACAGCACTCTTCTTCCAGATTGAAATGATGATCCAGTGCTGTTTGTTGATTCATTTTCCAATTTTTTCGGTCGTCCATCCCTTTTTCCATGTGTTCTTGTGATTCTCTGCATGTTTCTACGCACCACCAAACCTCCTAACCTTAATCATTGCGCACTTTCTTACGTGATCGCTGTTGGTGATTGAGTATTTGTGCCTAAATCTTTCTTACGTGATTGACCCAGGTTGTGTTTAGCACATCCAAGAACCTGTTCAGATTGCACATTGATCCAACTTCCCGGTAATAGATATTCTCTTGCTGTAATGATGTGATACTGAAAACTCTCCAAGCCCCGAAACCCAATCCTCCAACTATCAAGAGAGCCTTGTCGAACTGAAATGTGCAAGCGACACTGTCCTTATCCTGGAAAAAAAGAAGAAAGCTCAAGCATTCTTGGAAATGTTAGAATGATTCCATTTTTTAAAGTCTACTCCGCACTCACAAGGTGTGAATTTATTCTGCATGGTTCACATGCAGGACATGTTTCCTAATCCTCCCTGTGGTTGTAGCTGCCGCAGTTTCGTTCACGGATGATTTGGCGGGAGGGGGTAGGTAGCTGCGCATTGCAGGCGGTAGATAATAAATTGGTGCAAAAATCCAGCACTGTCAGTGGGGGGTTGGGAAAGGAGTTATGCATTGAAAGCGATAGCTTGGATGCACGAGCGCCATTGAGGGTATACTGGTTTCCCGATCACCTTGTTACTTTTTTGCTGATGATAGCCCAACAACATCGGCTTCGTTTGCAAATGAGTGTATCCCGCCAATAGCATAATTGTCTCTTCCCCTGTATGTTTGACTGGTGGCGTCAAAAGGTGTGTGTGCGAATATATATCAACGGCTGTGCTGTTGATTCCTGTTCGGGTTCCGTAAGCGAGTGTTTGCCGGTGCAGACACCTTTAATGCTTGCGGTTTATCAGCACTAAGCCCATCCCCGTACATTCTTTAAGTACGTGGTTTTATTTTACTAATCATCATTCAGCTGTAACACCCTTTCGGTTCCCAACTGCCCGAAGGAAGCACGACGGCTGGGATACTACCAGGTTGCCCAAGTCTAGGCAGAAGTCCAGATGCAAAGGTCGGGTTC